ACCCTTTTATGTACCTGAAAACTGTTATGTCCCCCATGTTTTCTCTTCTCCAGACTAAACAAACCCAGTTTTTTCACTCTTCCCTCAGAGGTCATGTTTTCTAGACCTTTAATAATTTTTGTTGCTCTTCTCTGGACTTTCTCCAGTTTGTCCACATCTTTCCTGAAAGGTGGCGCCCAGAACTGGACACAATACTACAGTTGAGGCCTAATCAGCGCAGAGTAGAGCGGAAGAATTACTTCTCGTGTCTTGCTTACAACACTCCTGGCTAATACATCCCAGGATGATGTTCACTTTTTTTGCAACAGCGTTACACTGTTGACTCATATTTGACTTGTGGTCCACTATGACCCCTAGATCTCTTTCCGCAGTACTGCTTCCCAGGCAGTCATTTCCCATTTTGTATGTGTGCAACTGATTGTTCCTTCCTAAGTGGAGTGCTTTGCATTTGTCCTTATTGAATTTCATCCTATTTACTTCAGACCATTTCTCCAGTTTGTCCAGATCATTTTGAATTATAACCCTTTCCTCCAAAGTATTTGCAACCCCTCACAGCTAGGTATTGTCCGCAAACTTTATAAGTGTACTCTCTATGCCATTATATAAATCATTGATGAAGATATTGAACAGAACCAGACCCAAAACTGATCCCTGTAGGACCCCATTCGTTATGGGAATAAGAACATTTACATACACCATATAGGTGCTGTGACATTTATTACATTAATGTTTGTGAAGATCCACAAATATTAAACATTACTTAGGAGTCAAGTACATTACATTATATGTGAGGATAGAGGAGAGAAACTCTCAAATACTGTATTTGCTGGCTAATCAACAGATGGATTAGTTTTGAATGAGACCTTTCTATCCAGCCCTACGACTATCATATCCATGACACAGGTGAGGGACAAAAGACCATAATCAAGGAAAGTCTCTAAAATGGTTACAAGGACAAAAATTATTATTATTGTTGGTTTGGAATTTTTAGCAATGCATTGTTTGAGAATGTTTAACCTAAAATGTGACACTAATTGCTTCTTTTTCAATAGTTATGCACTGTCTGGGGAATATGGAGCAATTTCACAAATTTAGCAATAGACATTTCACAAATTTTTGACCAATACGTGTAAGGAAGAGCTACAGCACAAAAGGAAATCCCCAATTAATGTAAAATAATGAAGAGAAGGAAAAAGGCTGTGAAGGGGAAAAAAACTGGCAAGTACAAGAAAGGGATCTTTCCTCTTCATTTAAGAAATGTTCAGGAAGGTATGAACACAAAGATAAGCTTACGTGACATTTCTAATAATCCAAGTTAGCTCTTACAGCAGTAGATTTAGTAAAGGAAAAGGGATATTTCAGAAGATAAACTGCATTGAACAATATTTTCAGTGTCTTATGAACAAAGACTTGCCTTCAATGGTAGAGATATATATCCTTTCTGTGTATCATTGTTCTTGCAAGAACATATTTACTGTGGCCAATTCAAGAATAGACTTGTTAAGTTTTTGTACAAAAGAAGAATTTATGCAGCTTCTCAAAATTTTGATAAAATATGAGATGATCTATGTGAGGGGTATACAAACCCCCCACGGGGCTGGAAAGGGTTCAAGGACAGTACTGGGCCCAGGTAGCCTCATCCCTCCAGCCCTGCAGAGCATGCTCCAACTGGAGACATGGTTGAAAAGGCAGCAACCCAACTCAGAAGGGAGAGGCTGGAGAGAAAGACAGACCTACGCTGAAGGCTCCTGGCAAAAGGAGCCGAAGAAGCCTCCCTGTGGGAACAGGACTATAAGCTGAGGCTGATTGGGGCTGATGGTTTGACTTCTATTTCCTTTTCCTTATCTGGGACCAGAAGCTGAGGGAGAAAAGCAACAGTAGGAAGTAACCCAGGAAGGGTAACTCAGAGGGCCCCTTGGAGGCCAAACACTGCTGACCCTCCTAGGGCTCTGGGTCGGAGCCCGCTGGAATAGGCAGGCCCAGGCTCCTGTACCACTGCCTTCACAACAGGGTGAGTGTTAACCACTAGGCCATCCAGCCCACAAGGACCTTATTACAATATCACATACTTATGTCACTATATCCATGACACAGAGTATGTGGTAGGGGTTACTGATATTCTCTGTTAGTGTGACTTTTGGAGGAGAAGAGGGGAGGGAGACTAATGCATATTTTTATTCTTATTGTGGCTTGTAAAAAGCTTCAGAGTGTCCTCCTTTGCCTCAGCTCCTGACTCTAAACAAACATGACATCAAGTATGGTAGCACTAGAAGCTCCAGCATGCCAATTATTTCCAGAGCAATAATGTAAACACTACAAAAACTGACTTTCCGCCCAGAAGGGTATTAGGGTTTGTGTCAGAAAAGGCTTAAGATGACCAAATGCATGTGGAAAAAAAGCTGAAATTGCTACATGTATGGTAACTTGTTGAGTACATCTACTAAAATTGCTAGGGGACACTTGGATAAAAAACCTGTAGCAGTACTAGTTTCCTTTTTACAGCAATAAAAAAGAATATTCATAGCTACTTCTGCAAGATCTTGCAAGCTCAAGACAAATCCTTAGTATTACCTCCATTGTCACTAACCATAAGGTGGAACACGCAGCTGTTTTCTACTATCGGGAGCAACTGGATGGTCTTCAAAGTAGAGATGGCTGCATGTGCCAATTCTGCAATTTGGTCTTCATCACAAAACATCTGAATAACATTAGTAATATATGTAGTAGAACATGCAGCTACACTAACCAAATGCTTAAAAAGAACTCTTTGTCAATGTACTTAAGCATGTACTTAAGTGCTTTGTTGCATTGAGGCTATAGTGACCATCAGGAATTCTTCTTTGAGGATTACATCCCCACTGTCTCAAAAGGGAGAGTCCCCCTGTGTATTCTCAGTACTAAATTCAAATCTCATAAAGGTCTGTTTGTCAAGGAGTTCTGGCGGAAAGAGGAATACTGGAGGGGAAATGTGGACTAGGCCCTTGAGCAAACTTTTCATAGTCAATGAACGCTAAGGATCCCTGTTATAAGAGGATGATTTGCTGCTCCAAATAATTTGAGTAGCCAGAGTAGATCCTGACTTTTAAAAAGATAGTACACACCCTGAAAACAAGGGAATCAGGGTACACAGGTTCTATGAGCCTGCTGCATGCTCATATCTCCATTTTAGTCCAAATTCCAAAATATTCAAAACTAAAACTAAACTAACAGTAAGAGCTACACTGAAAGAAACCAGTATCTTTCTTCATACTTGCTAGCTGGTGGTGAAAAATAAACTACATGAGTGAAACTTTTTCCTTATACTTCTATGAAAACAATTCTAACATAGTGCTACAAACATAGTAATGCAGCTTTGAAACTGAAAATATGGGTGTCACTTAGGATTCTCACGGGAAACTCCATTTTGTCTATGCAGCCCATAATCTTTCTAAGGTGGTTTTTCCAGGAATCTTTATTTTTTGGTTGTTCCAATTGTATATTTGAAAGATACTTTAGAAGCATATCTTCTGTAGTGTTGTATTTTCTCAGCTTTACTTGCCTCACAAAGAATGTTCTGCATTTAAGGAAGGTGCTGAAGCATAGTCGGTTTTGGAAACAATAGGACTGTTGACAAACATGCATGCACAGTGGTAGCACACATTCATGGTTTATCGTTCTATGTAAGAAGCCATTGTCAACACATTTATCTTGTGTTTCTGTCTAAAGGAAGATACAGGACAGTATAGTTTGGGTGCTATTATTTACTGAGTTAATTACAGCCTAGATTTAAAGTGTATGCTTATTTTCTTGAAAGGGCCATTCTACTAAATTTAAATGTTCATTCCATGAGATGAAATATTAATACTTACTGCTTTTATGAGATCTTCATATTTGCAAAGCACTGAACAAATATTAATTAGCCTCACCATATACCTGTGAGGGAGGTAGTTATCACTGTTTTACTGATAAGGAAACTGAAGCCCAGAAAGCTTAACTGACAAAGCCAAAGTCACACAGCAAATCAGTGGCAGAGGCAAATTAGAACTTCATCTCCCAGTTCCTACACCTGTGTGGTCAGTCCTTTAGCTCACACTAGGAAAAAGCATATCAATCAATATTCTGACTGGAAATATTCTGATTCAAGCCATAATTATTAGTGCCTCTTTTTTAGCTAATTTTATATAACAACGGAACCCATTTATCTTACTCTACCAAACTACATTAAACATTTTTTTTAAAAAGCTCAATTTCCTGTTTCTATCTCATTATATGGTACCCTTTTTTCTTCTATCTCCCAAAGTTACAAAATAAAATCGCTTAAACTAACATACTTTGTGTTTGTACATTACCTAGTACAATTGGGCCACATTCTTGGTTAGTCCTTAAAATAGGATTAATAACAACAACCACCACCTAACAGTTTTATATATCATTCTAACAGGCACTCCAAACAAACATCAAATATGCTGTTTTGCAATAAATTATTATTGTGATCACAATTGCAATTTGAAACCAAGATGTAAGAATTTCAGGAAGCATACAATTCTGTTGCTTCAAGTCTTTTTTTCTGAAGTCTGTAGATTCATTTAAGCTTTTTTTAAAAATGCTGTTTTTAAACCTGATAGGCTTTGTATTAACACCCCTGTAAATAGTCCATTCCCAATTTGTAGACAAAACTGTTATTCTCCCTTCTCCTTTTTCAACAATTATGCATTTTAAAATGTGATTGCTCATTTAATAGTGTTTGTTGTGTTTAAAGTACTTTGACACAAAAGATGATAAAAACTAACTCTTTATACTAAAAACTTAGCATAACAATAATAAGTGTCCAACTGACGAAAAACAGTTTGAGGTAATGGTTTAAATATTGCATTGTATAAGCAATGGTACATATGACATCTTGACTACTACATGAAGTATTGCATACTAAACTTGATTAATATAACAAAGGAAAAAATACTCATCAACTAAAACAGTACGCATACATTAGAGACAGTAATCAAATTAGGAACGAGGCTCACCGTTTTGAGACATGAAAGGACACTGAGGAATCAGTGAAGTGCCCAGAGTACTTGGCAGCCTTAACTTGGAGTGTGGCGAGAGCAGTGATGGAGCCGGAAGCATGAGATTTGAGCTGGTCTGTAATAGGAAAGGCAAATCAGAAAATAAGTTGTAATTTCCTGGGTTACTTACTGATGCAAGAACTAGATGAGAAGTATTTACTTACCATAAATAATTATTAAATTCTAGATAGAATGAGTGTCACATTGAGGGCAAAAGAGCAATTTAAATTGTTTGCTTTTTTGGAGAAAAATATTTGGGAACAGAAAGTTGAAAAACTATTGGTGGTTTGAAATGTAAATGAAAGCTTAAATGCTTAACAAAAAAATTGAGTAGTGAAAAACTGATAGAATAAAAAAATCCTCCACAATACAGAAAGAAATATAATGTACAGTTGTTTATATGGGTAATAACTCTTATTCATATTGGCCTATCAAACTATTTGTATGCTAGACCAAATTCAGATATGAAAAAGAACACTTAATTTTAGTATTTTAAATTACATTGTGTCTAAATAGAGTACTTATGAGGAAAGGGTTAAAACATAGTCATAGAGAAAATTATTCTTTGCAAATTGTGCAACATATTTAGACCAAAACACCAGTTACTTCCTTTATGAAGACTACACAAAAGCCACCTGTAGCACACATGCTTATTTCCATAATGACACAGATAACATAGCTGAAATCTGATTTGCTATAGAGGTTCTTTGCATATATGCAGTTACCACAAATACAAACCCTTCTCAAACTATTCCTAATGTGTTATCCTAGATAACACATGTAAAATATATTAAGACAATTTGAGGCATTTACATGATCAAACAAAACATTTTCTTATAAATTACACCTATTGTCACTGACTGCCTTTGATCATACTGTCAAACTGGTGGGAAAATATAGTCATAAAATATCTGCAACAAAATTCACTGAGTTTCCTTTAAATAAAATCAGTGTAATTAGCTGAAATTGTTTTTTTCCCCAGTAACATATATAAAAACAAACAACAAACAAAAAGCCAAGAAGTATGTTATCAAGCATGTTCACTTAGGGTTTAATCCAAAGCCCATCACAATGGAAGCCCAGGTAAATGGAAATCTTTCTTGTGACTTCTGTGGGTTTTCGATCAGGCACTTAAACTTTAGTTGTGGAGAAAAATTATAACATATTTAAGCCTACTTCTATTTTAATTAGTCTCTAAATTCTATTTAAAGAAATGAAGCCAATTACAAGAAAGGGCAAGTTTTCGCTTGCTTTCAGAAGTAGTACAGTGACATAAGCACTGGTTGTATAAATTACAACATATGTTCAACAATTCCCTAGGCCTCGATCCTGAAAAAATATGTATGCATGGATTTAACTTTGGACTTGTCTATATAAACAATTAGTTTGCTGCAAGCTGGGGTGTAAATGTATCTTACACTCATCTGCTGTGCACTAAGTGTCCATGAGGGAGGGACTATCTTTTATTATTTGTCTGTACAGCACCAGTGAAAATGGGGCCCTGACTTGGCAACTACATACTACTGTAATAATAAATATTTTCCAAAACAGGCTAATCTGTTTTGCTCAGTTTTGGGTTAACTGCGACACGCAATGCACAAAATCAGACCAACCAATGAACATTATCCAAGAACTCTAAAGCATCTGCATTTTACTGCAGTATGAGAATTCAATTGTAAGTACATTTTAAGTAATACTTCTGAAATCTAAGCAGAGTGAAAACAAGTTCTCCCCTCCTTACAGCCTGACTTCTCTCCAAATGAGCCATTTCCAATATTATGGATCTTTTTTCTAAACTTCACAAATATTTTGTAAAGTCAAAACCTAATGTGTGTAATAAATCACACAAACAACAAATAAAACTATTCAAAATTGGGACTTTTATAATCCCTTTTTTCGTACATCAGAGGAAAAATTAGGAGAAATTGATTTTAAAATTTCAGATATCAGAGATGTTTCAATAACCTGTCTCAGTTGTGGTGACCCTACATGGAGTTTTAAAGATGAACTGAAATATGTCACATGTAAAGTTATTTCAGTACAGTATTTAATTCACTTCTCTTTTTAAATTCAGGTTTCCTTCTGTATGACCAACAACCTTTGTACATGCCACACTCTATTGCTTTGAAATCCAGTCCACAAGACTGGATTTACATTAGAGAAATAAATTCTCCCTTTCAGTTTTTCTCTTAAGAAAAATGGCCCCTATTTAAAATACAAACAAAAACACAAAAGAATTCATGCCCCCATTGTCCTGCCTCCAAAAAACCCTAAAGCAAGGCACTTACTTTTTTGTAAAAGACTGATATTCTTTTTTAATTTAAAAGCTTTCATTTGAAAATAAATCTTACAGCAATGGTCCCAATTCTGCAATTGACTCCATGTGGGAAGACCCCCTAGAAGTCAACAGAGCTCTATGCAGGCATAAGTACCACCACATGAAGTACCTGCATAATCAGGGCCTGCAATTTCTTCCACGCCATTAGGTTTCTGATATTATTTTAAATCCCTTTTTAAAAACTTATTAAATAGTGAAGAACAGCACTACAAAGGGCTAGAGAAGTCAAATGTGGATACACAATAATGACTTTTTTATTAGTGTTTCAAATTTGAAACATGAATGTGTTAAGAAAGCATATTTGAAAAAGCACATTAATACTTATGTATTTTCTCTACTTTTTCCAATAGACAAACATGTAATAATACCTATGGAACCAATAGAGTGAAGCAATCACTATTTCTGAAATGCATGCTGTGGGAAGGGATTGCTAAATACCTTTACAACCACAAGTAAGGTTGGCTAAGATAGCCAACACCAATCTACTCATTTTTCACAACATACTTTGCTTGCTTCATGCAAAAACCACAGCTTTATCAAAGACACAGTTTACTACCACCCCTGAGTTGAGTAAAGCTAAAAGTTATAAAACTCAAAGTTTTTGCAGAGGTAAAAAGAAACCCACAATAATTTTTGCCAAGTTTAAACAATGCTACTTTGTATTCTCTTTTTTGTGTTAGGGCAGCTCTATGCAAATTATGCAAATATACATTTTCAATGGTACTAGTTTTCATGGTAAAAAAAAGTGAACTGCATGTGACAAAAAAAAAATACTGCAAGATTTGACGAGCTAACAAAAACAATTTCTCTTTTTCCCTGACAACTCAGTTTTATGAACTTTGCAACTGATATAATTAAAATTTCCATATGTACTTGCAAGTCAAATTAAGTTGGCCAGGTCTGTTTTATTTCTTATCCGTTTAGGTTTGCTTTTTGAGGTTTTGTGCCTTTAGGACACTCTATTTTTAAAGAAGACTTTTAAAGTAGTTTTTAAATCATGATTTTGTGGGTCTAGAAAGTTGACAATGCAATCAGGTAAAAAATTTTTTTTTTTTACCATTTCTTTTGTTCAATACTAGAATGGATCCATATGCAATAACACTTCAGTATAAATAAAAATATACTGCCACAATTTTTATGTGAATTCTGAGTCTCAAGTTTACATCTGATATATAATTTTTTATTATTTGTATTACAGCCATACATAGTGTCCTCAACTGAGATCAGGGCTCCATTGTATTAGGCATGGTACAAACACATAGTAAGACAGTCCTTGCCTCAAAGAGCTTCCAGTCTAAGTAGGCAAAACAGACACGAGGTGGGTGAAATGAAGTGTCTTCCCTGGTATACAGATCAGGCTCTGAGATACAGAAAGATCACATGACTTTCCTAAAGTCACACAGGAAATTTATGGTAGAACCAGGAATTGAACAAATAACTCAAGTTCCAGTTCAATGCCTGAACATCAAGGCCATTTCTCCTCTCCGTGTTCTGTTAAAACAAACATTTCTATAACCATCTGAACTAACAGGCTTCTTCCTTGGAGCCATAAAAACTTGTGATTCCCTTTGCAAGGCATACAGAAAAACAGTGATCTTTCTTGGATGAGGTTTAATACAGATGTGTCTACATAATAAAATGCAGAGATACTGCCATTTTAATGGGATTGGTCAATGCCATCACCAACAGCAGTGGGAAGTATATTTGTCTTGCTTAATAAAGGCTATGAGGATTATGTAATCTTTGTCTCTCTAGAGGTTGGTTATTTTTCTTGCTATTGAAGGGTACAGGGGGGGAAGTACATGACATTTTCTTCACCAATTATGGGATAAAGCTTCCATTGGCTACAGTCCTGTTTCTTGCAATGAGATATGGCAAACAGAGCATTCAAAGTTGTGTCCCACTTGAACATCTCAATCCAGAAGGTTTTTTGTTTTTAAGTGACTCAGTGAACCTTTCTTGTGATTGCATTTTCCCTCCTGACTGATGTTCTCTTGCATACCTCAGGGGCTTCCAGACAAATAATGCAAAACCCTATTCCTGGTTCCTTCCTACCTGTTGACAGAAAACATTGTGGCATGATTGTCTGTTTTAATTTAAATACATTTTCAGGAAACCAAGCAAAAGCCTGAAATGCATACACAAAACCCTCTTCCTCCGAGACATCTATTTGGCACCTGCATTTCCCCCCACATATAAAACCCTCTCTGTGTGTGCCCTAAGCCAGACCAGACAGCTTAATAGTGGTTATGTAAAAAAAAAAACAAAAAAAACAGGACAACATTTTTGTGAAATTCAATTAGAAATCAGTTTAAACTAAACCAGTAAGTCATTGTCCACACAAGAGTTTGTATTGGTTTAATTAAATTGGCTTACAAAAATCACATTTTCAGTTAAACCACTGCAACTTTCTTATGTAGACAAGGCCTAAATTGCCTTGCCTGCTGATTCATTACAAGGCAGCTTGGAATTGGAAGAAAGTTAAAATAAACTATCCAGATTCACGCAGAATGAGCTACACATTCCGTTTTTGGATGCAAAATACGTAAGATTCTTTCTAGTGGTTTTTTTTGTTTTTTTTTGGATTTTTTTTTACTCTAATGAGAGGTGATCATTTCAGGGTGTTTCTTTTTGTTTCAGGTGAATGTATAAACACTAAAAGGAAACTGTGAAACAGTGTTACCAAAATCTGTAAGCATTTTCAATCTCATCTGCTCTTCCTTTACTTTTAATCTATA